AACGTCAGCTCTCCCTTCCCTTAGCACTTTTTTGGGCTAACACCCCCTCTCTGATGGAGAATATGGGGAAACCCCTCCCCAGTAGCAGAAGGCTACTGGAATTGCTCAGAAAGCAGATTGCAGCTCATGCCACTGGGATCAAGCCTCCCTGAGGAAGCACAGGGTGCCTGGACGTCCTGGGGCAGTGCATGGAGCCTGGATTCAGTGCCTGGCTATAGGGACAGCATGTTTTGGCATCACAGACCCAGAATCTCTCCAGGAACAAAAATCCATTGCTGCAGCTTGGGCTGGTTTGCATCAGCAGGGCAAAGTGCCTTTCCCTTCGTTCCAAAGGGACAGGAAAGCACTGGACAGCTTCCAAGGTCCAAGCCAGTTCTGCTGCAGTCTCTCTGCCTTAGCAGGGCAGGAATTCTTCTCTCACCTGAAAGATTTCCATAGATAATTATTCTCCTCAAGCAACATTCTCAGGGACGAGATTCTTCATGGCACTGAGGGATGCTGCAAGGGCTTTCCATAGCAAAGAATTGGGATTATGACATGGAGAACTTGGCTTTTGCTCAAAGCTGGAGGGGATGGGCAACCTGTTAGGTTTGATGTTACAGAAAGAGTGAGATAGTCCTCTCATACCTTCCACAGAGGAGGAAATGCTCTCCTGGGTAGCTGGAAGTGGCCCTGTTCTGGAGGAGATCATGGAAAGATTCTCATCTAGGCTGTGAATTCGATTAACAACTTCCTTGGGCATTAAAATAATGTTAATTAATTTTTTCTTTTGAATGCAGCAGCTTTAGATGTAGGAACGATGTGAAACCCCAATTCCTTGGTGGTTCCTTGTGCTGCTTGCTTACTCCTCCCAAAAATGCTGCAAGGACAGAGGGAAGACATATCAGGATATTGCCATAACAGCAGTGTTGTTAACTGGCCCTTTCCCAAATACCTTGTGCAGGGACCTGCCAGGAGTCATCTCTACAGAAGAGACCACCATTCCCTTGTTGCTTATAGACACTGCTGGCTGTGGCCTGTTTGAGCTGGAAGTGGAGGAAGAACAGTCCAAGGGGAATCCAGGTACTGATGTTTGGAAAATGCTGTTGGCCAGAATGGACTGTCTGAGATGCTCAGCGCCTCATGAGCTTAGCCACTGCTCCAGCTGAGGCACATCCCAGAGGAGATGTGTGGGGGAAGGTGGTGTCCCAGGGAGTCTTGCTCCCTGATTGTTCCCTGATCATTCTAAGGGATCATTCCCAAAGTGGGAATCCTTCCCTGCATAAGTCCTCAAACTCAAGGAACTCTGAGCCAGAACAGCCACAGGGCTGCAGTGAGAGTGTCCAGCTTGTAAGTAGCCACACCAGCTGCCATGTCCCTTTGCAGGGACATTTCTCCATGCTGTGGGCTAGCAGAGGGTGGAGAATCCCTGTGGCAGGTGCTTTACCCTCTGGAAGGACAAATAGCAGGCAGAGCACAGGCCTGTTTTGGGCTCAGAATTGTCTCTCTCCTTCCATGAAATCCCCTCTGGTTCTTCTTCATGGATTTTCCTGACATTGAATTCCTGCAGGTTTTTGACTTAAAAAAATAGGTTTCAGTATGGAGCTTGAATGTAAAGTCAGGCTGGAAAATACAAGGACAGTTTTTACCAGTTCAAATATCTTTCACCTTCTTCTGTTTGAACTCCACCAGCATTTAAGTGCTTCATTTTTCCATGCACCATTCCTAGAGCTCTGCTGAACAGTGGCAGACCCTTGTCCCCACACAGAGAGCCAAAAAGCCTTGTCTGAGAGAACGCAGGGATTTGGAGCAGGGGATTAAAGGCACATCTCCCCAAATTTGGGAGGCAGCCTTCTGGTGCAGCACACTGCAGAGTCTTGATGTTTATTGCTGTGCTTTGCTGCAAAGCAAAAGTCCAGCCAATAAACCAGGGAAATAATTCACACTTTATTTAACTTGTCCCCTTGGATCCCTCTGAACCAGTCACCATCCTGGATAACCAGTTTGGGACAGCCTTTCCTGCTGTTTAGGAGACATCTGTGCTGCAGACAGGGTCTCCCTGAGCCTTTCCTGCTGGTTTATGGGAGGTGGTCGCATTTCTGTGCCCAAGCTGGTGGCTTTGGCTTGGGTCCCCATGACCCTCTGTTTGTGCCTCAAGCTGGTGGCTTTGGCTTCTGGTCCCCATGACCCTCTGTTTGTGCCTCAGGAGAGGTGCAGCTGGCTGGGCTGCATGTCCAGGCCTTGATGGATGCTGGAGTGAAGGCAAAGGACATTGCTGTGGTGGCCCCCTACAACCTTCAGGTGAGCTGTCCCTCCCTCTCCCTGCATGCAGGGCAAAGGTTCAGAGTGGGGGTCATACCTCACGCTTTGGCTTCTGGTCCCCATGACCCTCTGTTTGTGCCTCAGGAGAGGTGCAGCTGGCTGGGCTGCATGTCCAGGCCTTGATGGATGCTGGAGTGAAGGCAAAGGACATTGCTGTGGTGGCCCCCTACAACCTTCAGGTGAGCTGTCCCTCCCTCTCCCTGCATGCAGGGCAAAGGTTCAGAGTGGGGGTCATACCTCACATCTTGTGTGACACCAGAATGTCCAAGAAATCAGCAGAGCCAAATTTAATCAGCATTTGGGGACAACTCCTCCTCACTTCAGCAGCTTGAGGAGGAGGAGATGTTAGTCAAGTATTCCTCTCCCAGCCCCAGTATCAGCATTTGACCTCCAGGGGATGTGAGCACTCGTGTTTGTGGGTTTGGGAGGAGGGGATTTTCCCAAAACTTCACCATTTTAACCCTTTGCACCTCTATCTTTCCTTTAAAAGATCCCCATGGCCTATTTTTCAGGTGGACATGCTACGAGAGCACCTTTGCCACAGCCACCCTGAGCTAGAAATTAAATCAGTTGATGGTTTCCAAGGAAGAGAGAAAGAGGCAGTGATCCTGTCCTTTGTGAGATCCAACAAGAAAGGTAAGAGCTTGCTGCTGAGTATTATTCCATGGGGAATGGGGAGGAAATGGGAAGGGAATTGTGTAGCCAAGTGCTGTGGTTTAATTGCAGTGCTCTAGCACTTGGCTCTGAATGGATTTACTGGCAAAAACCTTCCTTTTTAGCCTTTTTTTTGTTTAATTAATGAATATATTTGCTGTCAGGGATGCAGAGGAAGGCTCCCGTGGTGCAGCAGGTACAAGGGGAGCAGGGCTGCTTAGTCTGAAGTTTTCCTGGCTCTTAAGGCCTCAGAAATGAATTAAACCAGGGTGCAAAGAATGTCACATCGCCTTAGCCCCACATTTCCTGGAGTTGAGGGGTTATTTCTTGGTTTTGGAACCTGTTTTGGGTCAGTTCCCTGCAGAAAGAAAGCAAGAGCTGACATCACAAGTCATGCAAGGAAAATGCTGCTATTGGGAGCAAAATCTAGAGCAGAAAATCAAGTCCTTTCCTATCAGCAGCTGCAGAGAAAGTTAATTGCTGGAAAAAAAGCTGCTGCCCTGAGGGCATAAGGCTCCTTTGTGGGAGCTGAAGGGTTTTGTGGAGTTGAGAGGGACCTCTCTGTGACCCCCTCTGTCCCGTGCAGGGACCACTGCCCTTTCCAAACCCAGAGGAGATACAGCCTTCATGTCCTGCCTGTGTTACTGAAGGTGAAACCCTGAGTGCTGATGGCTGGAAGGGGGAAAAAAATAGGGGGGAAGTATGCATGGAAGGAGGAGGTGCTTTTTTTTCCAAGCCTAGAGCAGTCCTTATTCAGGAGTGACTCACCCCTCTGTGCTAGTGGAGCTGGTGGCCCCGGGAAGGTGTGTGTCCCCCAGCCCCTGCCTCTGCACAGGTAACAGCCAAAGCCCAGCTGTGGAGCAGGAATTGCTTTCCTGTGGGAGCACAGGGAGGCTTCTTGTGGTGGCTGAGCATTGCTCTGCTCTGCGTGGGGCACAAGAGATGTTGTTAGTGCTCTGAGTCCCTTGGGAGAAATCCAGAACAATTTACAGCTGCATGTCTTCATTCAGAGGAGGCCAGGGACCTGTCTCTCTGCAGCCATTCCTGATCCAGCAGGAAACCTTCTTTTAGAAAGAAATCCTTCCCTGTGAGAGTGGTGAGGTACAGATTTCCCAGAGAAGCTGTGGCTGCCCCATCCTTGGAAGTGTTCAAGGCCAGGTTGGACAGGGCTTGGTGTCACCTGGTCTAGTGGAAGGTGTCCCTGCCCATGGCAGGGGAATGGAACTGGATGAGCTTTAAGGTCCCTCCCAACCAAAACCATTCTGGGATTCTATGATTCCCTGATCAAAGGAGTTGTACTTTCCCCAGCAGCCAGGCTAAACCACATCGGAGAAACTGGGAATGGTTCTGTGAGCTGCAGAGCACAAAGAGAGGCTCACCCTTACCCCATCCCTCAAAGGCAGCACAAATGAGGCTGCTCAGCCATGGCAGGAACAGAGCCAGGCTGGGCATCGCTCCGGCGGAGACATTAATCTCTTCCCGACTGGCCCTCTCTCTATTCCCTGGAGCTGGAAGCTCGGCAGCCACCCACGCTCTGCTTCTCGCTGGCTGATCCTCCCTGAGTCATCCCAGCACTGCTGACTCTCACTGCTGCTCTGTGAGCAGAGGAAAACCTCCCCAAGTTCTTAAATGGCTGTTCCTTTAGACAGTCCAAGAATTTGGGAGCAGGCTGGGAGCTCTGTAGGACAGGGGTAAGTTCTTTGCCTGCAGTTCCTCCTCTGTTGCAAGGTGAGCCTTTTCCATGCTTGCTTCATATTGCATTTTCTCCCAGATCCAGACTAAGCTCGTGTTGTGAGTCAGCCAGGGAAATACTGCTCCTTTCCGTGTGCCTTCCATCCTCTTCCCAATTCCAGAAGCTCAGTGTGGAGCCCTGGTAGTGAAACAGGTAGAAAGAGGAAGGTAAAGGTGTGAGCAGGGACCAGAGCCCCATAAACACTGACTCCGACCCTTGGATCTGAATTGGATTGTTTGAACCTAACCCACACCAGGAGCCAGCCCTGCACCCTCTGGCAGCTCTGCTCACACCCCTTCCCTTCTGTCTGACAGGTGAGGTGGGTTTCCTGGCTGAGGAACGTCGGATCAACGTGGCGGTGACACGTGCCCGGCGCCCCGTAGCCATCATCTGCGACAGCCACACTGTGGGCAGCCAACCCTTCCTGCGGCGGCTGCTGGAGCACCTCACCCAGCACGGCCAGGTGCGCTCGGCCTTCGAGTACCTGGATGACCTTGTGCCTGAAAACTACTCAGGCCAGGGGCAAGGTGAACGTCAGCACAGCCCAAAGCCTCGTGTGGCATCCAACCCCAAACCACAGCCAGCTCCAGGCAAGAAGCACAAGGCTGGAGCAGCAAGCCAGAAACCTGGAGCGCGTTCCTCTCCGAGCACCACCAGACCTAGGAGAGAGGAGACAAAGGATGTTGCTGACAGGTTCAGGGCCATGCTGGCAGCCTTCCTGGCGAGCAGTGAGGTGCAGCTGGATTTCCCCCCATCCCTAAGTTCTCACGACCGGATGGTGGTTCACCAGCTGGCGGAGGAGCAGGGGCTGCAGCACCTGAGCACCGGGGAGGGCCGGGACAGGTACCTCAGCGTTCGGAAGAGAGAGCCCACCGAGCCCTCACTGCCCACAGCTGTCCCCCACACTGAGCAGCCTCTTCCTCAGCCTCTTCCTCAGCCCCTTGCTCAGCCCCTTCCTCAGCCTCAGCATCCCAGCAGAAACACCCCTGTCCCTGCGGAGCTGGGAGAAAGCAGTGAGGGCTCGGGGAAAGTGGACCTGAAATCCCTGCACCTGGAGAGAGTCCAGAGGGAGAAAGCCAGGCGGGAAGAGACATTGAGGAAGGTGCAGGAGCCCAGCGCTGGCAGCAGGAAAAAGGACAAAAGTGAAGCCAAAGGTAGGTTGAGCTCTTCATAAACAGCACAATTAATGCTCTTCCTTGAACAGATTGTGCTGTTTAATCCCTGTGGGTTTGCTCTAAACATTGGGATTTGTCTGTGTGCATGGAGCATGTGGCTCTTGGAAAGCTCCTTGATGCTTGTCACTGCAGGGATGTGGGAACTGGCAGGAACATGCAGCAGTTGGATGCAGCATTAGGGAGAGGGGTTTGGATACCTGAAGGCACATTTCTTAAGTTGAAAGAGAAACACTGGAGACCCTTTCCCAGGAAATGGGGCTCAGGAATTAAATTGGAGGCTCCCAAATGCAGGCAGAGGAGCTAAGGGGAATACCTGACGCACACTGAAGGACTTAAACATGGAGGCAGCCCAGGCTGTGGCTGTGGGTGGGTTTGCTCTCAGTCCCCAATCCAGGTGTCTGCCTCACTTTTCCCAGGAAAGCCAGTGGTCAAGAGTGAAGCAGAGGAAGATTTTGATGCTCTGATCTCTGCTGCCATCAAAGCTGACAGGACCTGTGGCTTTCCCCACTGCAAAGCCACTGTCACAACCCTGGGACAGCTCTGCCACCACTGCAACCGGTGCTACTGCCTCAGCCACCACATCCCTGAGGTATACGGGGGACATGGGGGGCTGGGGAGGAGCAGAATGGGTTTAACCTGGGAATTTTCCCTGTGGTGGTGAGCTGCAGGTAGTCAGGGCTGCCAGGTGCTGACACCTGGGCTCTGCTCACCTCTTCCTGAGAGCTTTTCTTTATTTTCTTCTCTCACTTTGTGCCCTTCTTTACAATTTTCTGGCATTTACACTCTTCGGGCTGTGTAGATAAAATGAGGCAGGGAGGAGAAGGTGGAGAGGCATGAGCTTAAGGCAGTGACTTGAGGGAGCCTGGACTAAATTCCTAGCTCTTTGCAGATTCCCTCTGCATCCTGGACTTGATTCTCAGCTCTTTGCAGATTGCCTCTGCATCCTGGTGTTGACTCTCAGCCCTTTCTAGATTCCCTCTGCATCCTGGGGACAGGTCAGAGCTGGAGCCAGCATGGAGCAGTGTTGCGTGGCCAGCAATTCAGAATTCTCTGTGCCCCTGTCCATCATCCTGCAGCTCCCAGGCACAGCTCCATGCCCTGTGGAGCCTCCTGGAGCTCAGCAGCCCCATAAATCCTAGGCACAGCTTTTCGCCCTGTCAAGAGCTATCTGTTTCCATGGCAAAGAATAGTTGTATTTATGGTCATTCACCATCCAGTGGGACATGAATTTATTTCCTGCAGAATCACCTCTCCCTGCTGAATTGTGATGAGGCTCCAACGAGGAACAATTGTAGGGATTAAAATACATGTCAGGCAGTTTTCCTTACTTTTTAAAGTCCATTCCTTTTCGTAGATGTTACCAGGCTTCCATGTGGAATAGCCTGGGAGCTCCTGTTTATGCCTGACCCTGACCCTTGTACATACCTGGAGCCTCTGTTAGAAGAGCTGTAAATAAGTGGAGCATGGTTTTAGGGGGCTGAAAAGCAGGTGGGAGAGGAATTCCAGACTTTGGGAATGAAACCCCCTGGTTCCTATGTAGGTGATCCCTGTGCTGCTTCTCAGCTGCCACCAGTGTCCACTCTCTCCTCTCCAGGTCCATGGCTGTGGGGAGAAGGCCAAGGCTCATGCTCGGCAGCGGATCAGCAGGGAAGGGATCCTGTATCCCGGGAGTGGCTCCAAGGACAAATCCCTGGATCCTGCCAAACGAGCCCACCTCCAGCGGCGCCTGGACAAGAAGCTCAGTGAGATGACAAGCCAGAGGAAGGGCAAAAAGAAAGACAAGGAAAAATGAGGAACCTCAATCCTGTTTTTTTAACCTCAAAGCTGCAGGTCAGACCTTGCAGACCAAAGCTGCTGCACAGAGCCCTGAGAGGAGTGAGGGCTCTTGTTTTGGGGTGGGAGACAGCCTGGAGCCAGTGGCTAGGCCTCTCTGAACCACACGGCTGAGGCAGGGAGGGAGACCAGCTTTATTGTCCAGGTTATCCATATTGACATGGTGATGGATGCACATGGACGTCAGAGCACACTGGTAAAACGGCATTAAACACCCAGAGCAATCAGCTGTCACTGTCATATTTGTCCCTGCTACAGAGAAAGATGAGTATCTGTGAGCAGGAACGTGGGAGGCACTAAAAAACCTGTGTGACCCTTTGCTCTAGGGAGGATGACTAAGGAAATGGATGTCTCCCAGCCCAGCAGTCCTCTGGCACCTCTTGGAGCTGGACTGGACTGGCATGTCCATACCACAGCCAGCATGGCCCAAAGCCCTGGGCTCTCCCATCCCCTCCTCACCTGGGCAAGGGGCTCAGGAGGGGGCTCAGCCCTGCTCCAGGGCTGTGTGGAGTTAGGGATAGGGAGCCAGCACCATGGTGAGCCGCTCCAGAACATCCAGCTACTGCCCTGGGAGATCCAGGCCACCCAGTGGCACTGGGAAGTCTCTCCCTCCTCGCTGCTGCCTGTCCCTTCCCTGACACTACCCATACCTGTCCTGTCCTTCCTGCAGAGTTCCTTGGAGGCCAGTATCCACTGGGAAAGCCCACAGGGGTGATGGCAGGTATGACTGTGTGAGCTCTGTGCAGCCCTCCCGGGTGGAGGGAGCCTTGTGTCCCCCAGACCTGGTCCTGTACCCCCCAAACTAATCCCCCTCCCACATTGGTTCCTGCCTCTTGATCCCAATATCCAAAGCCTCTCTCCATCCCCTCACAGCCCTTGCCCTGTCGCCTCTTCTTGCTGGCTCCAGACAGGTGCCAATCCCTCACACAGGTTCCATCCATCCCCCTAAAAAAGTATTTCCATTAGCACTTTTTGTCCTCAGGATGAAGGAAAAGGTCCTGAGGTGAATATTTCCATTAGCACTTCTTGTCCCCAGGATGAAGGAAAAGGTCCTGAGGTGCCTCCACAGAGAAATGGCCAGAGAAGGGAAAAACAAAAAGCCCCAAAGCACATGTTCCACATCATTTTTGAGCTTAACATCACCTATGTTACCCACAGGTGATTCCAGAACCTGTGGAAGTCACACCTCTCATCCCAAGCAAAGCTCAGCCATTGGCAGGAGCTGCAGGACAGCCAAGGATTTTTGTGTCTCTTCTCAAATACTGGCTGGGGTAGCTAATAAGCAAGTTTTCCCCAAAAACCTCAGAGCCTGTGAGTACTGACTGTGGACAACTTCCCAAGAAACCTTCCTCATCCTTCAGAAAACCTCCATCCCTTTGGCTCATGCCTTGATGCCTGCAGCTGGTGTGTGTCAGCCATGTAGCCATGGCACTTGCTCACCTGGCAGCAGATGGGACATGGGACTCCTGGAGGGAAAGGTGGGGAGGAGGAAGAGATGGAGTGTGGGGGAAGGAAATCTGGGCATCAGTGAGCACTGCTGAGTGGATATGGGGAAGAAGTCGGAACAGAGCCTGTGAGGAGGAGGATGGAACAAGGACATCACAATTGTGTCCCAAAGCAAAGGTTAGGCAGGACATGAGAAGGGAAAAGTGCAACCAGCTCAGGGGATAACTCACCTTGGAGTTACCTTTAATCCAAGGAAAATGAATAAATGGCTCGTTCACACTTTTTCCCCTGCTCAGATCATCCAAGCAGCCACATCCCTGTCCATGCGCACCCCATGGTGCTTGTTTCCTGGCACAGGGCCTTGCACACCCCCAGATTTCTTGGCCTGGCTTCCTGCCAGCTTTCTACAGGCAGGGAAAAGCCAAGGTTCCAGGCAAAGAGGGATGTGGTCCCAGCCTGTGCTGTGGGGGGCTCCATCGGACCCCTCTGCCTGTCACACTCCATAAATCAGAGTGGGAATCAGCTCCCCAAAAAGCCCAAACCTGGCTTGGGCCAGGAGCACATCAGCAGGCAGGATCCACACAGGTTTTTTTTCTCCTTTCCCCTGCCACAGGAGTTGGGCTTAAAAATGATGAAATTAGGAATCTCTCCCATCTGCCTTCAGTCACAGGGCTGAGATGTTACTCTCTACACCCAGATTGGTTAAAATGAGTGAGCTTTGGGATGAGCAAATCCCAAGTGTGACTCCAGGATTAGAGGCTGTGAAAAACACCCCTCTGCAGCCACTGTGGAGATGGGCAGGGATACACTGGGGGAAACAGGTGGAAGGAGAAGCAATACATAGTAACAATTGCTTTTTCTGCTCTTATTGCTCCCATTTTCCATTCTCACTGGAAACATTCCAGCCCCAGCACAAAATCCCTCCGACAATCCCCTCAGGATCACTGCTCATGTTGAGGACCATGCTGGCATTTATCACCCTCCTCATGTCTGCCCAAAAATCACCTTCTAAAGGAACCCCCCTCTCCCCAGCAGCCTTGAGGTCCATGTTTGGGGATCCCACTGGTTTTGGGGATGCTGGGAGCATATGGGATGCTTGGGAGCCTGGCTAGCAGCAGTTTGGGGAACTTCTTGCAGGTTTTGGTCCATTTGGGCTCCTTTCCAGCAAGTCTGCCTGCAGCCCCCAGCGCAGGCTGGGGCAGAGACACAGCCACAGTCACTCTGTCTGTCCTTCGGGTGTTTGGGCAGGAGCTGTCCCTGTGAGGCGCTGGCAGCTTGGCCTTTGGGTGCCACAAAGTCCTGCTTGGTCCCTGCTGCGGGTGCCGCTGTCCCTGCAGAGCCGGTGTGCGGGTGCAGCCCCCTGAGATCCCTCTGCCAGCAGCCTAATTCCTGCGGAGCGGGTGCCACATGGAGACAGGCTTCCTCAGCGTGGCCAGCATCTGGTT